ACTTATAGAGTCAGATGGTGACTACATAATGTATTAATTTTAGTTAGTTGGTTATGTATTTTTTAAATAAAAAAAAAATTTTGAATTTACTTACTTGTAGCTAGAGTTAGAGGCGGTCGGATACTTATAACCACTACTGTATATAAAAAGAAGAATATAATAGCTATTCAGGAAAAACTCAGTATTAGTAGTAATACAAATCAAATGGCAAATATTGAAGCAAAAAGGTAGAAAACACTTGCCATTTATATGAGCTATTGTTAGAATTGGTAAGGAATTTAATGTCTATATAGAAGAATCTCAATATTGATGGTAATTCTATTCTAGAAGTAGAATATTAAAGCAATGAAGCTTCTATAGATATTTCATTAAAGGAGATATTTAATTTGCTTATGTATTTAGAAAAGAATATAATAGCAATTCAGGAAGAACTCAATATTGTTGGCTATACTAATCAAAAAATAGTAGAAGAGGCTGATAAAACTGTAAGAGAATATCTTCGAAAGTTTGAGAAATACCATGATCTCTTAGAAGATATTCCAAGTGTATTAATACAGAAGTTTATCGATAAGGATAAAAATGTTTTATTTTACTAGAGAGGGGCTACCATTATTTCTGAAGGTCTCTTCTCAACAATTGCATGAAATTTTCGTCAAAAATCTAGCTAGCATTGGTCAATGTCCATGTCTAAAACAGGTTAACTAATCTATATTTTTTTATCACACAGGACACATCTAGATGCAAAAAAAATCTTCTAAGCTAATAATCACCACTTCAGATTAATTAGATCAGTAGAGTTCTATCATTCTACTTGATCGTTGAGTAATCTATCAACAGATCTCGACATTAAAGTAGAAATAATACCTTGAATCAGTGTTTGTCTGTTTATAGCTATAATAGGGTAATCAGCACCAGAGTCATCTGTTATAAATATGTTGGAATTAAGTTATCAAAATCTCTGGTGAAACTGAGTTCTAATATTAGCAACTGGAGACTGTGTTGATATTAGCTCTACCACTTGCTCTATCTCAGCTCAAATATCATTCAGATCCTGGTAATTCTCAACATAAATATTTGGATTAAGTAAAATGAACTGATTTACAGCTTTTTTGCTAATATTGTAATATTTTCTTAAATTAAGATATTTTAAATTAAAACACAAATTAGCAATCTCTTCAATTGTTATCAGTAATTTTACAAAAGTTAAGATCAAGTTGCCAGAGTCTTAGGCAAGAACAAATAACATTGCAAATTAATATTTCAGAAAATTCTATACAATTAGAAATATTTAAACATTCTAATTTATGACATGAATCTGTAATTGCAGTTAGACCTTTATCAATTTTCTATTGAAATAAATTACCTAAAACAGATATATTAAGATACTTCAAATTTGGATATGATTCTGCTATTAGCTTTAGAACTTTCCCAACAGACTCAAACTTCATACTTCCTTTAAAATCTAAATGAATTATATTTTAGAACCTGCGTATAATACTTTTGATTTTTTATTTGAAAGCCAGTAGTCTGATATTTTAATATGAGTTAATTTTGAGCTATAAATTAGTTTACGTTCTCTCTTATGTATTATGTTTAAAAATCTTTTTAATTAAGTTTGATCATTCACATCATTTAGCTTAACACATTTTCATAAAATAGGAGCACCGCATCTATACTAAAGTCAGCAAATAAATAGAATAAGATATAATGACTTATTTATCATTAGAAAATATAGAATCTGTTCTAATAGTTCTGTTAAATTTATAACACCCAAATACGCCATAAATAATATATGCCGTATCTTTAACAAAAAATAAAATTACACGATTACTGCTCTGAGCCAAGTTTTTCCAGTATCTCATCTAATGTAAGCACTTGTAAACTATCCATAAGAACTTTTATCCTATTCTTATTTAATAATCCTTTTAATAATGTGCATTTAAGAAATTTTTCACTATAGCTGAAATTTTTGTTACACTCTTTCAGCTTTGAATAAAAATCCTTGACTGTATTTTGTCTTAAACCAATGACATAATACAAAAATCAAAAAAAGTCTTTCTTTTAAACCATTCAAGATTTACCTCACTTTGCCATATATAAAGCTCTAAACAGTCTAGTTCAGTCTGAATTAGATGCCAATCTGTATTTGAACTGAAAATTTCAGTTCAGTTCAGTTTAGATTATTAATTTTAAAAATGCCAATCTGAATCTGAACTGAATCGCAAACTGGTAAAAATCTGAACTGAACTAGAATTTTCAGATTAATCTGAAATTACAGTTCAATTATATAAGGAATCCGCAATTTATATATAAAACTAGAAAAATTGCAAAAAATCGTGAATTTCTTTTTGAAGTTCATAAAATTCAAAGAGTAATCACAATTTTTTTGCAAGATTCGAAGAGAAACTGTAAAAAATTGTGATTCTTTAAGAGTTTTGCTAAATTTTTGCGATCCTTTTAGAGAATTCGCAAATTTTGCAATCTTCTAAGAGTTTCGCATATAATTGAACTGAACTTTCAGATTAATCTAAAATTATCAGTTCAGTTCAGATTTTTTTCAGTTC